GAAACAAGAGTTGAATTAATACAGCCCTTTTCTTATATAATTGTAGAGTAACGTAAGAAGAGGTTTCTTTAATTGGAGATGCAAATGTACATTCCATTCTGTCCATTTTCTTTTCTTTTTTTTTGGATAATTTGTCCGTTTTCCGGTTAAAATGAAAAGGAATTTTCTACCAAAAAATCTCTATATTTTTCATGAACATATTTTTCAATCATCTTTTTATTTTACATATATCAAATCGCTACACTATATTTTTTTTAAAAAAAAAAATTTCAAAAAATTGGAATCCAAACACAACCTTAGTTATGGTTCATTGCTTGAACGTGTTGGATACGCTCCCGTGAAGGTTGTGAGCTTTTGTACTGCTGAGACACAAAAGCATGCAATACTAGATTTGACGCCCGTTTTGACACGCTCAGTGGAAAATCTTATTCTCACTGCTTTCGTCAACTGGTATTTTGTTCCATTTATTTGTTTCTTTCTTCCGAGTTCTTTTTCGTCATCATTTTATTCTGCGGTAAGAGGGTACACGTACAGAGTTGACTTGGGGTTCACTACTCACTACTGTCATCAGCTCGACATTAAGGGCTCGTTTAAATTTTGCTAATTTTTAGACATTTGATGTAAATAAAATAAAAAATGATTAAAAAATATATTTATAAAAGGAGAAAATTTTTTTGTAAAAAATGACAATCCAAACAAGATTTAATATAAACGTTTCAAGTGTTGGTTCGTGCCACTTAATCTTTATGGAAGTTTCAGCGGATGCTTAATTTTGCATTTATTCTCTAATATTAAGCCATAAGTTCATAAAAAATAATTCAAACAAAAATAAGAAAACTAATTGCACAATTTGTTGGATTATCAACCAAAGCAGATAAAAAACTTCAAAGATTTCTTGGTATGATAGGTAAATTGTAGACAATAGTACGTAAACCCCACCAAATTCATCTATTAAACGAAATTTTATTTTCTAATAATTTTGTTAATTTTTCATAGTGATTATAAATAATTCTACCTTTTTTTTTTATTAATATCAGTCATGAACTCATGATAAGAACTACTAATTTGCTTAAACAAGGTAAAAGTTTGTTTTTTCTTTTTTGGTAGATAAAAGAGTTGTTTAGTACAGTAATCAGAGAGGTAAAGTATCTCTTACCAAGTAGTCTAACACCTTTATGTATCTGGCTAGTTTTAGTAATTATTATGCATTTTCTTTCGGTTTTGTTCTGCAAACATTGATGGACAGTAGCGTTTTTCAATAGTTGGCATGAGACAACGAGAGAGGGAGTTGGGGTGGGGGGGGGGTACTTATTAGGAGGAGGAGCAATGGATGACTGACTTTTGACCCAGGAAAGGAAATTGATGGGAGTGAAAGTTACATTTTTTTTTCTTTTTCATTTGGAGATTAGATGGTGAGAGATGGGGTTTGCCTAGCTCCTTGGTTTTCGGCAAGAAGGAAATTGATGGGGAGAGCAGATACCAGAGCTGTGTAAGAAAATGCACGTTGGGGTTGCGTGTTGTGCGCGAGTTCTCTTGATGATACTGCTGATGCTGATGATGATGATAGCAACAGAGGCAGCAAGTATAAAAAACTATAGCCATAGGAGAGAAGTACAGTAGTAAATGTTACCATAAAGAAACATAGAAATGAAGCTAAATGCTTTCTTCATCACAGTACTTGAGTGATGGAGTGATTGGCGTGCATGTGGGAGGTGTCACTTTGAAGATATATAGTAATGGTGGTGGTAGTAGCGGTAGTAGTAGCAGTAAGTTGTGTGTTTGTATTGAGGAAGGCAGGTTGAGTCCCTAGGTAGATATGATTCCCCATCTTTAGTAAGTAGTAACCCCTTTGCTTCCAGCACTGGACCACCTCACTCGGCCCCAAAAAGCAAAATAGTAGTAGCATGAGCAAATTTGTTTGTATTGTGGCGGTTAATTTCCATGCATGGCTCTTGGCTCTTGGCTCTTGGCTCTTGCTTTTCAAATCACATTTAATCTCTTCTCTCTTTGGATATGGGGTAAATTTGGGAAGAAAAGATATAATCAGGAGTGTCTATTGGGCTTTCTGATTCGAGTTTGGCTCAATCTAAATCCTGATTCATAAAAGAGGGAAGAAAAAATTTTCGAGCTTTTCGAGTTCAACCTCGTATTTGAAGCTCATACTCCACCAAAAATATTAGGGTTTCGAGTCTACTTTAGACTCAAACTGTACTTTTGATAAAACTGAAATTTGAAATTTGAATTCATTAAATTATTGAATTGTTAAGTATTAAATCAAATATATATGATAAGTGAATAACTTATCACTTATTTTTGGGAGCAAATTTTACTTAGAAATTTCAATGTCACTTAATTCATTCAGATGTTCAATTTTTAATTATCAAACATGTCTAAACATATTAAAATCTGAATCCATTAAGTTTAAGTGTTGGATTGATTTATCAAACAAGGCTTTACAATGAATGCATAATCATAGATAATATTTACATTTATAAAGAAAAAGTATATAATTTTTACATAGCATTCTATATTGTTACGATTACAATATATATTATAAATTGCGTACAGTAAAGAGTATATTTTTACATGAAATTATTGGGACGAAACTTTAATTGGTTTGAGCCTAACAAAACTAGGTCTAATTATTCCGGGTACAGGTAGGGATATAATTCCGGGACCCAAATCCGTTTTGTCAAACAAAAGAACGGGTCGGATACGGAATGTGGTATTCCGACCCGAACCCAAATATAAATTGATTAATAATTTAAAAAATATATATTTATTAATATAATATCCCAAATTTACTTCTCTAACTATTATTTCAAAAATATATTTTTTTCAGGTAGGCCCAACCCAGATCCGTGACCTGTCGGATCCGATTCTGGAAGAAATAATAGAAGATCCCGTCGGGTATTCGGGTCAAGACCCGGAACGGGTATAGTATAACCGGTTTGGGCCCAGATTTATTAATTCCGGCCCGTTGACAGACCTAAATAAAACCAAGTACAATCAAAATTGAGCATAGGATTTTGGCCCATGTTTTGCAAAGTAACAATGAGACTAGGTCCCAATTTTTTGGTCCGAGCTCAGGCCAATCTGGCCCAACTAATAGTCCTATAGATGATTACCTAAACTGGCAAGGGGCGTCGCAGTAAAATAAATCCTTAATTAGTAAGGCTCTTGCAAATTAACGGATGAAATACATCTTAATCTAATCTTATTACTAAAACTGCAAAATTAAATGTTTTGGATAACTATTTTTTGTCAAAAAAAAAACTATTTAAACACCCATTTAGCAAGAGGCTGTCTCTATATTGTCATTATTTTAACAAATTATGCACGCTGAAATCTAGTCTCATCCCATTTCAATTTCACGAATAGTTTCAATCAGTGTTTTGAAAATCCGATCGAATCACTTGGTTTCACTAGTTGAACCACCGATGAATCATGTCAGTTGCGAGATTCACTATTAAATTTAGAAAATTAATTGAAGTGGTCAAAGTCGTTCAGATACCGATTAAGTGAGTTAAAATTAATTTTAAATAGATTTTTCTTTTTTAGTTTAATTACAATTGCTCCATAATCTTCGTAGGATAGATTTAAAATCTAATTAGTAAGCTATTAATAGAAAAGAAAATTTCAATAGTAACTTCACGTAATCATAATGTTCTTTCATTCCTTCACAAATCACATATTTATATCATGAATAATTTAATGATTTAAGAACTTTTAATATCATAAATAATAAGTTAATTTGGAGCACAATGAAATTTGTACTGTAATTAGTGCATCTACAAAGTCATCCACAAAACCACAATATTTTAACAAAGAAATCTAACTATTAAAAATCTATTTATCTAAATGTCAAAAGCATCGCTTTCATGTAAGAGAAATAAACTAGGTTATGAAATAGTGTACTTGGAAGTCGCTTGGTTTTTAATTCCACGACCATTATGTATGGTAAAATGGGAAATATCCATGACTTTGATACAAACTCACGAAATTTTAGACAAAATGCAACATCATTTTTATGTCAAGAGGTTTAAAAAATAAGCAAAGTTTATTTGGCACCGAAATTCTTGTATTACCTCGTCATAATAATGTCTCTCATTTGATTCCTTCATAAATATTTATGCAAAAATAAAAATAGAGGTGGGTGAGTTTTTCTCTCATAAAATTCATAATAAAAAGATGGACCATAGGGTCCTAAATGCCACTATTGTCATTTTGTTCTCTCATTTCTCTAATCGCACTCCAGCTGCAAACGAATCGAGTCGCTCGCGAGCGGCTCGAGTCAAAGTTCGACCCGAATTCGGTCAAACTTGAACTCGAGTCAAACTCGAGCGGCTCTCGTTTATAAAGCGAATCGAACTCGAGCTATCTTGACTTAAGCTCATTAGCTCGTCGAGCAGCTCGACGAGCCTTGTAAAATTATAAAAATACCCCTATTTTTATAACTAATTACTAAATTAGAATTCATTAACTTGACTAGCCTTGTTGAGGTTAATATCCCATATCTTTAGATTTCTTTAGGTCTAGCAGGCTCCCTTGTGGAGGTTGATATCCCACATTGGGGTTTGGGGGGTTTGGGTGGTTAGTATATTAGTCTCCTGTGAGACCTTCAAAAGTTGCCGACTTTTGAGGGTTCTCACGGGGTTAAGGTTAGTAGAAAATTGTCCAAAAGTCTGCTGACTTTGCAAAAAAGACATCAACCTCGTCCCGGGGGAGTATGGGGTCTCTTTAGGTCTAGCAGGCTCCCTTGTGGAGATTGATATCCCACGTCGGGGTTGGAGGGGTTTGGGTGGTTAGTATATTAGTCTTCTGTGAGACCTTCAAAAGTTACCGGCTTTTGAGGGTTCTCACTGGGCTAAGGTTAGTAGAAAGTTGTCCAAAAGTCCGCTGACTTTGCAAAAAAAACTTGACTAGCCTTGTGAAATTACAAAAATACCCCTATTTTTATAACTAATTACTAAGTTAGAATTCATCAAAAGTTTCATTTCCAGAAGTTGCATTCCAGTTCTAATTGCTTCCTCCCGTATCTCTCTTTCCGTCTTTCCTTCACAATTTCTCACACAAACCCTAGCCACCGCCACCGCCACCGCCAGCTCACCACAGCCACTGCCACCGCTACCGCCAGCCCACACTTCATAGCCCTAAGCCCCTAAGTCCCGTATCTCTCTTTCTGTTTTTCCTTCACAATTTCTCACACAAACCCTAGCCACCGCCACTGCCAGCACACCACAGCCACCGCCACTGCCACCGCCAGCCCACACTTCATAGCCCTAAGCCCCTAACCTTTCTCCCGTTTGTCAGCTTCCTTTACATTAGAAGTAGTAGCAGCTAAGCAGCATCGGCGGTCTGACACAATGCTAAGTTATTGAATTGTCTTTGCTTACTCCTATCATGGTAAGAAACGATGCATTCCTTCTTCTGCTTTATTTATTTATTTATTTTTTTGCTTTCCAAACAATGTATGTTTGAAAAAGCGGCACTCTGGAATCTCCTTGGGGGATGTTATAATTTGATTGGCCTTTTCTTTCGATTAATGCTTTTTGTTGTTAATCTGTTATTTTGGAAGTGGAATTTGTATTTTCAGTTCTGACTCGGTTGCTTGAATTTCCAAGGAACCAGAAAGGGGCAATCTTTGTATGAAAGATTGAAGCTTGGGTAGGACCGTCGTTTTGAAAAAAAAAAAGGGAATGTTTCCAACTTACAGCGGCTCAGGAATGCAAAAATTTACACTGGACCTTTCTTTCGAATATTTGGACAAATTAAATATTTTGTTGCTACGTTCTTATTCCTCCACTTTGACCAAGTTGTTATTCGTCCCAATTTCTGTACTTGCAGGAAGTTGTCATAATTTGAACGTCTTCTTGTAGTTCAAAAATCTGACGATTTAAACCCAATAATCAAGATCAGGAATTTGGTTTTGGACATACGTTTTTTACTACGAGTCCTTGATGTGATGTGATTCCCCTTTTTGCTCTGCAGTTGACGAAAAGTTTTTTTTTTTTTGATGACGACGAAAATGATGTTTTTGTTAGATAAATTTCCAAAAATTCGAGCTAACAAGCTGCTCACGAGTCAAAAATTCAAAAATTCGAGCTCACAATTCGAGCTGCTCGCGAGTCAGAATTCGAGATTCAACTCGCGAGCCTCATCGAGTCGAGCTTGAGCCTAGTTTTTTTAGTCAAATCGAGCTCGAGCTCAATTCTATAGGCTCGTCGAGCTCGAGCTCGAACTCGAGCTCACCTATTTTTAAGACGAGCTTGGCTCGATAAGTTCAAAACTCGACTCGATTCGGTTCATTTGCAGCCCTACACTCCAGCACTCATTGGACTGGAGTCTCTAATAAGTGGAATGAAAACTCTCGCTGTCGCTCGCCTGGTTGTCAGTCACTGGCCAAGTAGCTCAACTTCCCCAAGCTTCGCAGCTAATCCGATAAAATCTCTCTCTGCCTTTTGTTGGGCCTTCTCGTCCCCTGGGGGAGGGTTAAAGGAGTTTTTAATTAAAAATAAAAATAACTGGGCGATCCTTCATAATTTGGCTCGTGCTTTCGCTCTTCCGCGGCTATTCTACTTTGGCGACTCCCTTGGGAGCAGTTGACTAGTGACTTTGGCGGTGGTCGTTGGGTGAAATTCAAGACGAGGTCGGAATATTTGCTAATGAACTGCTTTCTCTGCAATTTCTACGGCTTTCTCATTTTTTTGGTAGAATTCTTATTTTCACTGTAGATTTATTCCTTCTATCAGGTATTTGTACATGCAGATATGAAACCTACAAATTTTGCCATAGATTAGGTGTACACTTTCACCCTAAAATTGAGGGATTTTTTGCCCAAAAAATGGTCCTTCGTCTGATTCACTAAGCCCGTACAAACCCTTTTTTTTTCAGCCTTCAGATCTTTGTCAACAATTTCTGACTCTAAATTTTGCTCTCTCGGCTTCAATTTGATGGCTGCTTAGTAAGAGGGAAGTAGAATCAGTATTAAAAACCGGAGGAATAGAAAAGGGCGCTTGAGGTTAGAGGCTTTATAGGATATACATTTTATTTCATTTCTCATAGGTGAAAAGAAAAATAGAGAGGTTTCTTGCCTTTTGGTGTTTTCCTCTATGGTAAAGAAAAATTTAAAACATGTTTGGTTTTTTCCTTTTCGCATAGCAGACACACGAATGCTACACAATTAGTGTTTCTTTTTTTTTTTTGGTATTTTCAGCTTTGTTTGGAAAGTGGAAAATCCTAGCAAGTGGTTTGGTGCCTTTTGTTCCCTTGCATCCTGGTAAATAAATTTCTTGCCATTATTTTTTTCTTTATTTTTTTGCACCACGAAAATATATACTGATCAGTTTTTTTTTTTAATTTTCAGCTTTGGTCCGAAAATAGAAAAGCTTTTGCAGTAAAATTTCTGTTCATTCCAGGTTAGTTTACGTTTGATTTGTATCATTAATTTGCTGAAATTTTTGTTAATATTATATGGGCTGATAGTTTAAATATTTTAATATTAGAGTTATGTGCCTATATGTTTGGCTATTTACTCTTATGATAAGTTTTTGCTTATGCTTCTTAAGAAGATATAGCTGTGCTTTACTGGTTTTATGTGGTATTTTAAGGCATCGAAATATTAATAAAGTATATTTAAAAAAGCCTGATTTTTCCCCCCAATTTATGCTTGCCCTTCTGATTTACCTTCTATGTACATTATCTCATCTCCCAACTATGCAATTCTTTTTTTTTCCTAGAAAAAGGAGAGAATCAAAGAGGGGAAATCACTATACATCTCCTTTCCCCACCCCTATTTGCCTTCCTAGCTAAAAACATGAAGAAAAACTCACACTTTCGCATCAATTTTCAGCCATTTGATGAATTTATTGTGAGTTTTTCTAGCTTTTTTTTCCCCAAAATTGTGCTCCTAGCAGAAATGTTTGCTTTTGTTATTATTGATTGTTTTGTAAGTTTAAAAGAATCAAGAAGAAGCACAGCAAAGTAAACATCTAGTATTTAAGGTGTGTGATCATCTCTTACAAGAGTAGCATGCTTTGTGTTTGATGATTTGATTCTAAAGGTAGCTTTACCACTACACTGGTTTAGTTTTCTGAGAATTTACGTGTTCCATTGTTATGGAGTATTAGATGATTTGAGAGATGCTTTTTAGCTTACTGTTTGGTCCTAAACAAAAATGATTTTACTTTTGCCTTTGTGTTTGTATGCTGAATGATCCTTTAATGTCTTGCAATGGAACTATCTTTAAATTTCATTGGAAACAATACTTTGATAGACCTAGAAACATTAATTTCATTGATTGTTTTTGACTTTTACTGCATTGTCATGTTAGTGACTATCATAATTAGGACCAAAGACCAGTTAGAGAGTATTTCCCCAGCTTCTTGGTTCTAATTTTCTGCATGTTTTGGGGCTGAACAAGTAGAATCTGCACTCAAATTATGATTTGTTTGACATAATTTGGTTTCTGCTTAAATTTTAGTTTTAGGAACTGGTCATGCACTGATTAATTCCTGGCACAGATAAGCACTTCTGATTTCCATATCTTGGTTCATTGAAAGCGGATTGTTTAATGGACGGATCCTAACTTGGGGGGACAAAGGCTTTTAACACACCTCAGTCTTCAATTATTTTGCTGCTTCCTTGTTATATTAGTTTCTCTGGTTTTGCACATGGACATGGGCATTGCTTTAATTACCCTACTGCTATAATAGTTTGCATATGGACATGGTTTCTCAACATGATGACAATTAAGATCTTCCACGTTCTATTAATTTTAAAAATGAGAGATATAGGGAATTTTTAAATATTTTTTACACAACAAATTGAGCATTGGCTGTTCAACACAGCCAGAAAATTTCTAGTATTATATATATATATATGTATGTACGCACATGCACGCACACATACTTGTGCACAGAATAAGACATCCCATGACCAATTTATAGCATCACCTGATAAAAAGTTAAATATTTTTAAATGTAAATAAGTTTTTAAAATTGTAAATTCAAACAAATAAATTCATTTCAATTGTACCTACTAGGAAAAAGATCTTAAATCCAACACAAACCACAACCATATTATGAAATTAAACAAAATACATTGAAACATCTAAAATTAAACAAAATCTAATAGAACTACAAAAGAAAACGGCGATCTTTGAGTTTGAAATGAGAAATAGAGCGAGTTTGGTTACTCTTTTAGAAATTAGGATTGGGAGCAAAAGATTTGACAAATAAGTTTTATGGTTAAAACTTTAGGTTCATTTAAAAAAAAAGAAAAAATTAGAAATTGTAATTCACATGTCAATCCAGGTTGAACGGTCAAATTAGAAATTGCGATTCTGACTGATTTTTATGATAAGTTAAACACTAGTAGTGAATCGAACCAAAAACTTGACTTGTTCGTGATCCAACTGGTCAAATTGGCCGATTCAGCCTAATTTTCTGAACATTGGTTGTGACACGTAAAATATTGACTGTTTAGTTGCAATATAATATAATTTAATAGAATTATAAATTTGAATAATATCATACGATGTGTTATTGATAGAATCATATCACAACAGTCAATGTTTGACTGCAAAATGTGTTATTTTACATGTCACAACAGTCAATGTGATATGATTTTACGTAAAATTAACTCCCTCGTAAGCTCCACAAATAGAAAATGCAGGAGTACTTCCTATAATATAATTTGGATCATTAATTTAATTTATTGATCATGGATTAATAAAGTATTATTTACTTATTTTTTATTCTTTTTTTTAGAACGAATTTTGCAATGATATAGTTCTTATGCCATTATAAATTCTTAACCATGACCATTATAGTTCTTACACCGTTAATACTTGAACAACGAAAAAGGACATGAACAAAAATAAGTACCCAGCCCATCGTCAAAACCCACTAACAATCTTCACCAAAACGACTTTTCTAACAATCTTCACGGAACAATTTGAGCCCACTAAGCCCAAAGCCAATATCCACTGCATGCCAACCCAACAGCCTTTGCCAACACAACGCCTTCTCCCCTGGCTTCCCTTCTGTTATAACCTTAGTTTCCCTCTTCTCAGTCACCCTTCTCTCCTACCTAGTTGCCGTTATTTCAAGGGTTTTTTGAGGAGACAAGCTTGGGCTAAAGATTGGTATGGAGTTTAGTTTCTTATTATTTTTGGTGCATTTTTTCTTAAATTGTTTTGTCCACTGAATTCTACGTATCAGTGTTTTTGGGATGTTGTTGGAATTGTCATTTTTCCTTTCACTGATAATTTTTTTTTTCTGGGGTAAGATTCTTTCCACTGATTTTAGTAAAGTAGATTTTTTTCCTTGAGATTTTATGTTTTTGCCTTTAAATATCCGTAATTGTGTAGTCAGCTGGTTAGCTAGTCAGCTCTATGAAATCCAAAAAGAATGGGCTTTTTTTGAGGTATCTATATTATAATAATTAGAGTTCTTGGTTGCAAATGGAAAATCTGATTTCCGTTTAAGTAGTTGCAAGAATAGATGTCCTCAGACTTTTGATTGCTAAATCAGGTGTTCGGTATACTCTTATATGCCGACATTGCCTTTGATTTTTCTGCATATTAATATTAGATAATTCTTCTCTATAATATGAGAAAATCATGTGTTTGATGCAGTGAAATATAAGACAAGAATGAATATGGGGTAAAAATCTATTCTTGGGTAGTGATGGAGTGAAACTCATAAAACTCTGAGTTTTGCTTTGTTGTAGGATTGTTTTCAGTACTGGGAGCCTCTTCTCTCATCTTTTTAGAGTGGAAATTCTACTATTTTGCACATTATGATTTTCCCTTTAATTGATCTTTTAAGTGGCCACAGCCATAGATGCCTTTTGTGGAGTGACCAACTGGGTAGGGTGCATTTTCTCCTCTTAAACTGCTGTCAGTAGGAGCTGTGAAATTGAAGGCAGTTCTAAGTGAATATTGATGTTTTACTTTGGCAGATATGATTTGCACCCATTCTTGTCTATGTAGACTCTAGATATAAGAACTCATGCAAATATCAAATGTGAGCTATGATCCAAGTGGCGTGATGTAGGCTAAATGTTTGATAAGATGTATCTCACAAGGTTCTTTCTATATTGCCATAGAAATGATTATTAGGAAAGCTCTCTGGTTTCCAAGAAAAGACATATGAATTTTGTGAGGCTTCTGGGTATCACTAAAGTTTTTTTCTGGAAATAGTTTGTTTTGGAAATCACTGTAGATGTACAGAATGCAGTGCATGCGTATTTCCCTGCCATAATCACATGAAGATGTTTAAGACGTGGAGCTTGTAAGAACTCATCATGTTTGTGATAAGATTAAACTGGCGGCTTTTAGAGTGTGAATTAAATGGGGCTTCATTAGATGAGCATCTCTTCTGAATGGCTAGGTGTTTTTTTCAAGAGAATTAAGTATTTACCAGTCCCCTGCTCAATCTTTTACAAACATACAAACAGAGAAAGAGAAAGCAGCAGAGATTTATTCATTTCCTCTTTTTTCTGTCTCAGATGGGTTGCCCTGGGGCTGGGGGGAATTGGTGGATTGTATGATCAAGTGCAACTGGGAGGTGCCTTTTGAATGCAATTCTTCAGTGTTTTTCCAACAGGGGCTAGTCTTCACTACAAAGTGAAGTGTTTTTTTTCTTTTTAAGTAAGCTTTTCAATGGACAGGCCTGAACCTGAAACTGGCAATCAAGGATGCGTAAAATAATGTGAGATTTAGGTTTTGAACTGGAGATTGACCCAACTCAGTTGGTTTTACATCAATGGTTCAGTTATCTGAATGGGTATCGGTGTGTGAAGTCTGACGTCTGGATATAAATGAAAGACAGTGTTATCCACGTCTCATCCTTTTGCAAACTCAGACAGTATACTTCAACTCTCTGGATAAAGACTTTTATCTCATCCAGTATTTGCACTTTATGCTTCCCTTTCGCATACCTGTTATTTTTGTCCAAGTCGTTTGGCTCTTGCAAATACACAGTTATCACAAGTACCACTCTCTCCTAATTGGATATGGGTGTTTTGTGTTATATGATGACATATGTGCTTGATCTTTTGTAAGTTAGATGTCAGGAAAACAAAAATGAACAAGTTGCACTGGCTTTTAATAAAATGTTGTAGATTGATTTTTTTTTTTATATTATTACACGTGTTTCATGAAGTCGTTTTTCTTTGGTGATGCAGAAAATGGTTATCCCTCCTGCAATTCGGCCAGAAAGAGTTACCAATTTTCTCAAGCCTTATGTCCTGAAGATGCACTTCACGAATAAGTTTGTGTCTGCTCAAGTAATCCACACACCAACAGCAACTGTAGCATCCTCTGCCAGCTCACAAGAGCAGGCACTGCGGTTAAGCATGGAAAAAGCCAAAGAAAGTACAAGGGATGTTGCAGCTGCTGGCAAAATAGGCAAGATATTGGGCGAGCGTCTGCTTCTCAAGGGTATTCCGGCTGTTTCAATTTTCTTGAAGAGAGAACAGAAGTATCATGGCAAAGTTAAAGCAGTAATTGATTCCGTGAGGGAAGCAGGTGTCAAATTAGTTTAAATTTAAGAATCAGCTCCATTCAAGAGTAGCAAATGCATGCCCCGCATGCATTTTTCTGAAGCCCTCTTTCTTTAACTAGAGGGTCTTTGCTATTGTGACAAGGATTAGAAGAATCAGGGTTATATATTATTATTATTTTACGTGGCTAAATCTATTTCTTGATAATCCATAGTCTGTGTTTGGGGAATGAATGGACCTGCTAAACTTGACATTTGAGATAAGTATTATTGCAAGTACGGATAGGTTCTGTCTGAATTAGCCAATGGTGTACTCAAGGATAACGTAGTAGTCGTTTTCGTAGCCGGTGTGGAGTAAAGGGGGCAGTTGAGGCGTAGTTCTTTGAATTCATGAGTTGTGAATAATGTCCAGATGAGTAAGGGAGGTCCCCATATTCTGTTGTGCTCTTTATCTTTGGCTTAACGTATCAAAGTTCTTATAAAGCAAAGCTCAGCAGCATGGACCAAAGCAACTTGGTGTAGTGCAAGCAGGGACCCGCAGGCTGTCTGGTTCTCATCATGCCATGGTTCTTGAAGTGTCCTAGATGGGAACAAAAGACGTTATTGAGGAGAGCTGGTGGCTGTAGATTAATGGGAGCTTTTTGGTTTTCTTTTTAGTATTATGTTTTTTTGGCATTTGGGGTTTGAATTATGGTAAATTTTTTGGCATTGAAATTCTAAGTCATAGTACTACTACTGTCATCTTAAATTCAGGAATGGTTCATCGAGCCATTTTTCGCACAAACTCTATAACTAAGAGTAAGTAGTAATAATAATAAGGTACTTTTCAAAAGGGGATAATTTATGAGTAAATCTTATATGCACTAACATTGTATACACTATCACGATTGGATGCGTAATATATATGCAAATTTTGGATTTCATATTTAAATTTGAATTATGTGTCATGTATTTATGTATTTAACGGTGAAAGTGTGTACACTGTCAGACAGTGTATAGAAGATTAATTCATAATTTGTTTACACAAACGAAAATCAAATTTGTTATTCCATATCATTGTGACACAGTTCGCGAAGTGTACATTTTGGCCCCCACAGTTCGGGAATACAGATAAAATTTACTTTGATTCAAAAAATTATGAACCATCAATAGCATGATAAGAAAGGGATTCAACATTAAAGGTGTCAACATTTTGAAGCAATAATTGATTTGGAGTGACAAAGAACATAAAGAGGCCTAACCAGAGGTTAATCAGCCCCATCACTATCTGCCTTGGATCTTCATATCCTTCTTTGCTAGACAAAAGTCCGGTCCTGGAAAAAATATTTGGCCATACCTCTGCTTCTTTTGTTTTTGGATGTATTGCTCCATATTTTGTGGTCACAATAATGAAGAAGATGAGGTATGATTAGGTACAGATTCCATAAAAGAAATTATCTTCACCAATCATCATTAACGAACTTTAAGAGAGTGACAAAAGGGAAGCATTTTTTTTTTTTATCTGGAATTCCACCTGAGGAAAAAGTTATCAATTTGGTTTTTTTTTCCCCTTAATTTTTTAAATAATAAAACTAGTGTATTGATTATCAACCCTGTTGCTGAACGTTACTTCCATTGATTATTTGGCAAAGCCTGACTTTTGTGATCCATTCGAAACAAGTTGCAGAGCACTGCACCTAATATTGATTGTGTGAAAGTGATTAGTGGGCCTATTATGTCTGGTCAATCTTCCAAATGTGCAATAATTTAGCCAAGAATCTTCGACGGCTCGTCATGCATAACACGCGCTGAGGTGGCTATGGAATCGGACTCATAGGGTCAAGTCAGTCAGCAACTCAAGAAATAGACTGCTCGACTATAGAATTAATAAGAAAACTCATAAAGAAAACTCATTCTCAGGGGTCTGGGGGGTCTTTATCTCTTAGTAGCGGGGCACCCCTGTGGGGTTTTCTATCCCACATCGGTAATGGGGGGGTTGGGGTTTAGGTTTATAAGTCCCTCACAGGACTCCACAAGTTACCGACTTTTGGAGTTACTGTGGGGAGTTAGGTTTATTTGCCAAAAATTCTTACTTTCGTAAGAAAATGTCAGAAAGACTATAGAATTAATAAAGAAAGAATCCAGGATTTCCTAAAAAAATTTTGCCAGCGATGCATAAGCATCCATCTGAACAAATTATGGCCCCGATTGGAATCTGAGTTTTTTAAAAGTTTATCTAAAATTTTACTGTAATGTACTATAGAAGTTTTTGAAAAAATTTTTTAAAATGAAAAACTTTTTTTTTTCTTTTCTTTTTTTTCTTTCTTATTCTCTTTCTCTTTTTTTTTTCTTTCCTTCCTTTTTCTTTTCTTTCCTCTCTTCTTCTTCTTCTTTTTCCTTCCCTCCGCCGTTTACCTCTGCCTTTCCAGCAGCCATGGCCCTACCATTTTTTTTTCTTTTCTTTCTTTTTCTCTCTTTTTCTCTCTCTTTCTTTCCTTTTTCTTTTCTTTCCTCTCTTCTTCTTCCTTCCCCCTCCCTCTTCCCTCGCGGTACCAGACGAACCAATAGCCATGGTCCCAAAATTTTTTTTTCTTTTTCTCTTCCCCTCTTCTCCCTCTCTGTTCCCCTCTCCCCTCTCCCCCTCTACTCCTCTCCCCCTCTACTCCCCTTCACCCTCCCAAAGCCAGAGAACCAGCAGCCATGGCGTGCACAATTTTTTTTTTTTTTTGCTTTTTCTCTCCCCCTCTTCTCCATCTCCTTCTCCTCCCCTTTCCTACTCTCCTCCCCTTTTCCCCAATCCGGTCGCGTGACCAGATCGCAGCTAGGAAAGGGGAAGGGTGGCTAGGGAGGGGAGGGAGGGAGGGAAGGGAAGGAGAGGGAAAGGGAGAGGGAGAAAGGAAGGAAAAAAAAAAAGGAAGGCCGGCGCTGGAATAGGTGGCCGGCGCCGGAAGTAGCGGCGGAGGTGGTGGGCGGCGATGAAGATGTGGTGGATCAGGGTGGGGGAGAAAGAAGAAGAAAAGAGGAAGTTTTTTGTGTATTAGATATTTTGAAGTGTGTAGGTTAAAAAATTTGATAAGTTTTTTTGGGTTCCTGTAGCTAAAGTTGTTGAAAAACTAGTAGCTAAAAAACATAGCCAAAAAACTCGGTTCCAAATAGGCCTGTTTCAATTTTCTCCAGATTTTTCCCTTGACTCTTTTGTGTCCATTCCTTCTTTTTAGTATAGAGTAGGAGTAGTTGTAGAATATAATCTATCGTATCCGATTAAAACAAAAAAAAAAGACTATAGAATTAAAATTTTTGACCCAAAAGAAAAAAGATAAGATAAGACTATAGAATTAAAGCCTAATTAGGACCAAGAGAGCAGACTGTTAACTCTACATTTTTTTTATAAGGTGCCTGGTTATACTTAATCTGCGACAAGATGATATGGCACAACTAGGTCATGGATGGTCTCACACTGCCTCCAGATTGAGAGTCATGGAAATCCTTCACAAGTTACTGCTAATATTCATATTCTATCTTTGATAGTGACTATATATCATTAAAATTTGTATAAAGGATAATTCTAGAAATCTCTCCTAAGGTTTTTAGTAATTTTACTTGGCTCCTTTGAGGTTTTAAAAATTATGCATGCCTCTCTTATCTATTTAACATGACAATAGTAGCTTTTACATTCTAATAAAACTCCCTTGTTTGTCATGTTTATATAAGAGATGGGGTTCTATAAATTTTTGTTCCCTTTTTTCTTCTTCTTTATCAGAAAATCTAAAGAACTATTAATATTGTCTGTAATCTCTATCATGATCAAATGTCAAACTAGTAAATTTTTTTATAACTTTTTATAATGTCTGGATAGCACATTTATTCCAAATAAAATATTTCACTTGTATCATAAATACATTTCTCAACCCACATTTTTATATTTCTAATTACATTTTTATTTTATATATCTCATATCACAAAAAGTGCTACAGTAATTATTTCAAATAATAATCTATCCAAATATAATATCATCATCTAATTATGGTAATTCCACCACTGAACTAGTCCACAAACTTTGAAACAAAAATCAAAATAACGCTTTTTTTCTATCTTAAAAAGAATCTATATCCTGAATAAATCACTATGAAAAGTAACCTATTATAGTGATAGATTTATAGTTGATTATCAAATAACAAATATTGACGTGAAAAAACTAACACTTATTCCTTTGGTAATTGTGTCAAATTACTTTATTATTGTTTAAAAGAATAAATTAAACTTTATAAGATAAGGGCATTTTAGAGTATTTATTAAAATTTTGACCCTATTTTAGGGTTTGATTACCAAAAGTGTCAAATCAAGGAAGGCAAGTATAATTTTTAAAGGGCAAATTATCCAATTGGCCCTTGAACTCTTTGTCTAGATAAAAATAAGCCCCTCATCTATTTTTTGCTGACTTTAAGCCCTTGAACTTGTAAAAGTGAACACCCGTGACCCTTTTAGCCAGTTTCCCCGGTTTTACAACCGGAAGGCCAATTCACACGAATGACAGTGTACTTTAAAGAAGGGTATTTTTGTCCGCATTTTCTAAGCAAAGAGTGAACAACTCTATCTTCTTCTCTTTCCCTAACCTAACCTGCAATCTGTAATGGTGAGGACTTAGGCCCCTTCATCTGCAAGGCCTTCACCTCCGGTGAACTCGAGACCCTCCTTCACCACCTCCAACACTTCTCCCGATCCAAAGAGTCTGAAATTGAGGACGTCTGTAGGGCCCACTACCAAGACTTCATCATGGCAGTCGACGACTTCCGCTCCCTCCTCTCCGACGTTGATTCCCTCAAATCCTCTCTCTCCATTTCCAACTCCTAGCTTCAGTCCATCGCCCTCCCCTTGCTCACCTCACTGGATTCCTTCGTCGAGGCCCGCAACAAATGCAAGGACATCACTCACCATTGAATCTTTTCGGACCTGTGCTCAATTAGTTGAGCTCTGCTCCCGAGCCAATTTTCATCTCTCCAACAACAACTTCTACATGGCCCTCAAGTGCATGGACTCGATTGAGCGTGAGTTTCTAAAAAAGATGCCGTCGTCTACTCTTCGGCGCATGCTGGAGAAGTAGATCCTTGAGATTCGAGCTCATATAAAGAGGAAAGTAAGCAAGGAGTTTGGGGACTGGCTGGTGAAGATTCGAATAGTGAGTCGGAATCTGGGTCAACTCGAGATTGGGCAAGCCTCAGCTGCTAGGCAGAGAGAGGAGGAGCTCAAGATCAAGCAGAGGCAAGCCGAGGAGCAAAGTCGTCTCAGTCTTCGGGACTGCGTTTACGCGCTTGAGGAAGAAGATGATGAAGGGCTAGACGGATTCAGCGAGAATAACAGGGAAGGCTATGCTAACGGCGGGGCAGGGGCTTTAGGATTTGATTTGATGCCCTTGTACCAAGCCCATCATATTCACCAGACTCTTAGGCTGGAGGATCGTTTCAGGCAGTATTATTTTGAAAACCGAAAGCTTCAATTAACTTCGGATTTTCAGGTATCTTCAATGACCCCTTAAACGGCATCACCCCGTAGAGCATCTCATGCAACATGAAGCCCAAGCACCAACAATCCACCGCGAAATCGCGACCTTTCCCGATTAAAATCTCGGGAGCCACGTATTCCTCCGTCTCCACGAATGAGTTGGACTTTTCTACGGAATCCGATTCCTGTCTCTCGGACTCACTGCTGAATTCAATCGGATGCACTGAGTCGGACTCAGTTATCCCTGATTTGCAGAA